ATCAAACTGCTTGTTTTGTCACTGGTCCAAAACGTTTGCTAAATGACTTAAACGGAAAATTAACTGATTATCAACATATTTGCCTTCCCGTAACAGATTAGTCTACTAATCATTTCAGATCTAGTGTATGTAATCAAATAATGGCAGCAGAGATTCTAAGAAAAAGAAAGTGTAACAGTGAGATTTTAAACAGATGCTAAAAAAGTCTTGATTGATGTCCATGTCCCTATATACGAGAACTCCACAGTTTGGGTCCACAACTACATAAAGCAGCGTCGCATTACTTCTTTTTTGGCACAGTGAGCAGCAGAGTCTGTACTTACAGGCTCTGGCAGGGACATTTATCGTAAAACTAACTGAAAGCCAGTGCATGGACTTAGGAACGGCCTTTTCTTTGGTCCAGTGTTCGGCTTGAACTGTAATTAATATACTTTTCTGGGAAACAATGTACATTTTATCTAGTATCTTTTATGACACTTCCTTGGCATTGTTTGTAATACAGTGTACAGCTGAAGCAATGGATCAATTACTTAATGGCAGAAAATTAAAAAGCCTAATCCCAATTAGACACCTGTCTCTTTTCCAGGCCTCTACAGGTGTGGCTACACATTTTGACAAATAAAGGCAGGTCTCAATCGGACGCCTGGTCTGGTTTTTATAAAAGCTATTAAACCCTGACCGCTTGAGCTAGTCCGAAGTTGCTTAGATAACACATAAAAATATAAAAGTTTATAACTTTTGTCAACAAGGACACGCTACACATCATTAGATCAGTTAGATTTATCACACTTCAATTCAGATTTAACGCTATGTTAAACAAGAGAGATGAAAAGAGCCAAACTTTTTACACAAGTATTCTTCATTCTGGTTTAATAAAAAAAAATAACAATTTGATAGTAGCCCATTTCCCATCTTTGTTTAGCAAGAGTTTTGTGCAAAAGGAATTAAAGGCCTTTCCCAAATAAAGGCAGGGTGAGTTCAGTGACTTAACAAAATAAAAGCCCGGGCTATTAATTTAAGTTTTTAGGTATATTATTGTAAACTGAATATCTTTGGGTTTTAGACTGTTTGTGTGACAAAATAATAAATATGAAGACAACGCATTGGCCTCTCAGAATGTGTGATAGGTATTTTCCTATATAGTTTGATTGAGCTGAGTGAGTATTTCATGGGTAATAATACTAACTTAATCAACAGATTGCTTGCTAAAATAAATACTTGCTAATTGTAGCCCTAATACAGTGATTTTCATATGTTTCCTAAGGTTTATCCCACTGTACATTACTGGACAGAAGCGCTTCTGTGAATCTAGGTGTTAACTAGTTAAAAGGGCAGCGGCGTTAAGTGCCCCCCTCAGCACAAACACATCTCATGTGGACAGAGTTAAGCCCCGGTGTTGTGTCGAAGTCTGTTTCCCCTTCGAACTCTATTCCCCGTCCCGCTACCCTCCATGGTCGATGTTAGGAATTTATTTTGGGTAATGCTTGGTAATGGTTTTGTTTCGCAGACATGAGTGGCGGGGACTTAAGTTTAGGGCTGATGTTTGTTTCACTTAGGAGGAAAACGAAACTGACGGGGAAGCAGACTTCGACACAACACCTGAGCTTAACTTAGCTCAACTTCCCGAAACAGATCGACTAAAAGAAATGCTCGCAGTTAAAACCAAAAAGCGTTTCCTGTGTTGTAGGAAGGGTTCTCGTTGACTTCCTGGGTACTCTTTGCCTGTCTCCGTCAGCTAACTCCAGTTAGCTGCTGTGCCCGGGTCGTCCGGCTGAGCTAGCTAACGGGAGATAAATAACACTGGCACTCAGTTGCCTCACAGCAGCAAGTCATTAAAACCAGAACAAAACCACTCCGACCATCACAACACAGAAGAGCGCGTAGTGACTTACTTTCGAGCTCTAAAGTTGATTTCGGATTATTGTTTAGCGGTCTCCATGGTGCTGTTCTACATAATGTTTTTCAAATCCCACGGCCCTGGTCAAAACAGCAACCATTGACGCCATGTTAATACATCACCCCGCTGCATTGTGGGAGTGCCAGTGACGACGGAGAGGGGCGTGTAACGCGCTGCGTTCAAATACCGCTCGGATACTGTGACTACAGAATTCCTGAACCTCTTTCTTTCTTTCTTTCTTTCTTTTTTCGTCTTTCTTTCTTTCTTTCTGTCTTTCTTTCTTCAGTTCAGTTAAGTTTGCTTTAATAGCATGAATATTGCCCTTTCTTTCTTTCTTTCTTTCTTTCTTTCTTTCTTTCTTCTTTCTTTCTTTCTTTCTTTCTTTCTTTCTTTCTTTCTGTCTTCCTTCCTTCTTTCTGATTTTCTTTCTTTCTTTATTTTTCGCTTCCCTTTTTCTTCCTTCTTCCTTCTTTCAGTTCAGTTTAGGGTGCTTTAATGCATGAATATTGCCCTTTCTTTCTTTCTTTCTTTCTTTCTTTCTTTCTTTCTTCCTTCCTTCTTTCAGTTCAATTCAGGGTGCTTTAATGCATGAATATTGCCCTTCCTTTCTTTCTTTCTTCCTTTCTTTCTGTCTTTCTTTCTTCCTTCCTTCTGTCTGTTCAGTTCAGTTTGCTTTAATAGCATGAATATTGCCCTTTCTTTCTTTCTTTCTTCCTTTCTTTCTGTCTTTCTTTCTTTCTTGCTTCTTTCTTTCTTTCCATCTTTCTTTTTCCTTCCTTCTTTCAGTTCAGTTCAGGGTGCTTTAATGCATGAATATTGCCCTTTCTTTCTTTCTTTCTTTCTTTCCGTCTTTCTTTCCTTCTTCTTTTTCCTTCCTTCTTTCAGTTCAGTGTGCTTTAATGCATGAATATTGCCCTTTCTTTCTTTCTTTCTTCCTTCCTTTTTCTGATTTTCTTTCTTTATTTTTCGCTTCCCTTTTTCTTCCTTCTTCCTTCTTTCAGTTCAGTTTAGGGTGCTTTAATGCATGAATATTGCCCTTTCTTTCTTTCTTTCTTCCTTCCTTTCTTTCTTTCTTCCTTCCTTCTTTCAGTTCAGTTCAGGGTGCTTTAATGCATGAATATTGCCCTTTCTTTCTTTCTTTCTTCCTTTCTTTCTGTCTTTCTTTCTTCCTTCCTTCTTTCTGTTCAGTTCAGTTTGCTTTAATAGCATGAATATTGCCCTTTCTTTCTTTCTTTCTTCCTTTCTTTCTGTCTTTCTTTCTTTCTTGCTTCTTTCTTTCTTTCCATCTTTCTTTTTCCTTCCTTCTTTCAGTTCAGTTCAGGGTGCTTTAATGCATGAATATTGCCCTTTCTTTCTTTCTTTCTTTCTTTCCGTCTTTCTTTCCTTCTTTCTTTTTCCTTCCTTCTTTCAGTTCAGTGTGCTTTAATGCATGAATATTGCCCTTTCTTTCTTTCTTTCTTTCTTTCTTTCTTTCAGTTCCGATCAGTGGGCTTTAATGGAAATAATGTTTTCCTTTCTTTCTTTCTTTCTGACTTGCTTTTTTTTTCGTTACAGACTCACTTGACATGTTTTTATCCTTATTTTATTCATAAATAATGTGAAGGTTACTTCCAAGGTTTGTGAACAGCAAGGTCATTCTCAATGTTTTAGTGAGGCTAATTCAGGGCCGTCATCTCTATGTTGCCTGTACCTGTTGCACGCTGCTCAAGAGTAAACTTGACGACTGGAAATGTATAAACTAACAGATGTAGACTTGTTTTTTAATTGGACATGTCTGCCTCTGATGTTGATGTCTTGGTCCAAAAAGCATCAGTCAAATTACTGTGTAGCCTACATCAAGATATAGCTAGTGTTGAAAATGATTCACAGTTACATATCCTGACATAGGCCTATTCTATTTAATAATATATTTGCATACTGGGTATTGCATTTCAATAAAAAATAAATGACACTCTGCCATTTCATGAGGTTATTTACTATTTTGGCATACAGTATGTAGGCCATTCACTCAAACCAAAACTACATTGCAGAACATAAGATATAACCAAAATATACCTTGTCTCAGGTGTGCAATTACTCTCTGGTTGGGAATGTGACATAATCTAAATTCCCACACAAATGAGACTCAGTTTGTGGGGAAAAAAAGTTCAGGTTTTGTTCTTTATTTTTGGCGTGTGTTCATTTGTTTTCTTCTAGAAAAAAGTAGGCCATGGTGGCCATGACTCATTTGCCTAATGAGCAGAGAGTGAGAAGTGGAAAAGTTTTTGTTCCAGTTCTTCTTTATCCAACATGCTTTCAGAATAAAAGCTTGAGACATCTGCAGAAGAACACACATCAAGTCCAGCAAACTACCAAAAATGCAGTCATTGTCCAACAAATGAAAAGCCTTAGGCTACCATCTATAGGCTAACTCTACTTCTGTTTTACAAAAGTAAATCAATTGTCATTATCCTTAACAAATAAAATACAATAGCGAACAAAATTTACTACAAAACAAAAATAATATAGCTGATTAAAAGCTGAAATGATAAACAATTATGACATACCAAGTTAAAAATCAAAGATTCTGAGTACTATCTCAAAATAAAAAAAATAAATATAACAAAACATAAATGTGTGGGGACAAAAATTCAAAACATATAAGTAACAATGACACAGGAAAAAATGCAGGCTACATTTAGATAACTGAATTAAAATAAAATATTGTGTTTTATAATTGTATTTCAACAATAAACCAAAGTTAAAGAAAATAAAATAAATTTGTATATTGTATCAAAAATGAGGAATATTCACACATCTTTTTACTTAATTTGTCAAATTTTGGAGTTGTTTAATCAGAGTTCATCAGATTTTTACTTTTTATTTATAGGTCATAACTTGGATTCACTATCTCACAATTCTGACTTGTTCATTTTAGACTAATACATTGTATATTTATTATCTCATAATATCGACTAACTAAACTCTCTAAAAATGTTTTTACCTTTAAAGTTTTGATTTATCAAGACGAGATTTATGACATCATTGCAAACTATGCAACCGTCAACACGGCTTTTATTTTGTAGGTGACGGCCGGTCCCTGAAGTCTTGTCCTTCCTGTCTGTCCGTAACTTGACTGCCGGGACGGAGGAGATCTGCAGGACTTTAACAAAGTTTCCCCGCTGTTGAGTTGGCAGATTGACTGTAAAGATGTTTCCCGGAGCGCTCACCGTGTTATTAGCTTTATTCAGCTTCACTGAGAGCAAACAGAAAGACTTTTATTCTTTTAAAGTAGTGAACAGCAGGGGGAAGTTAGTGTCCCTGGAAAAGTACCGGGGTTCGGTAAGTCTGGTTCTGAACAGCTGAGTATTACAGCAGTATCAGTGATGTTAGTGTATTACCCAAAGCAGTCTCTCTGCATGTCAGCCGGCCGCATGAATGAATGTTGCATGGACATGTTTTGTGTCTTTACTTCTCCCACTTTACATGTGGCTTGTAGATGTAATCACATAGCTGCAGATCACTTTGACTGCAGCCTGCTCAGGATGTCCCATCATGTAGCCCCGCTAGCCTACGTGGCAAGAGGCCTGCAGAAGCTTCCTAAGAGTTTTCATTCAGACAAGGTGGGGATCACTAGATCGGATTAGCCTAAATCTGCCTACAAAAGATGAAACAGTAACTACCTGTGATTTATGAAGATTTTATTTAGCTTGTCTGAGTTAGTAAAAGAGACAGAACATGCATGGATTTATTTGCACTTAGTTTTCTGCTTATCATTGCTGTTCTTTATTGCCAGTTCAAGTTCTGTTCAACAATGAGAAAAAGTAGAGCAGAATAAAGAAACATTGAAATTTTGAGGGCAGCACAGCAGGCTATTTGTTTGACCTGTGGTAGGAAATTTACTTTATATTATAAAGCATACTTTTTCCTGCCTGGCGTTTTTTAAAATAAACTTGTGTCCTTGTTTAAGTAAAATAAGTTATATATATAGTATGTAATAAAACATATTGCATCTACAGTCCCCTCCAAAAGTATTGGAACAGTGAGGTAAATTCCTTTGTTTTTGTTGTTCACTGAAGACATTTGGGTTTAAGATCAAAAGATGAGTCTGAGACGAGAGTTCAGAATTTCAGCTTTTATTTCCTGGTATTCACATCTAGATGTGTTAAACAACTCAGGACATACCACCCTTTGTATCAGACCACAGCATTCTTAGGTGAGCAAAAGTAAAGGAACAAATAATCTTAAAGTAAATAACATTTAATATTTGGTGGCATAATAATTGCTTGCAATAACTGCCTGAAGCCTGCGACCCATCGACATCACCAAACTGTTGCATTCTTCATTTGTGAAGCTATTCCAGGTTTTTAGTGCAGCTTCTTTCAGTTCTTGTTTGTTTCTGGGTGTTTCTCCCTTCAGTCTCCTCTTAAGGAGGTGAAACGCAGCTCTATTGGGTTAAGTTCAGCTGATTGACTTGGCCAGTCTAAAACCTTCCACTTTTTCCCCCTGATGAAGTCCTTTGTTTTGTTGGCAGTGTGCTTTGGGGTCATTGTCCTGCTGCATGATAAACTTCCTCCCCAAAAATGTTTCTGTCCTCTTCTGAATTCATTCTGCTGCTACCATCATCAGTTACATCATCAATAAATATTAATGAGCCTGTTCCAGAAGCAGCCGTGCAGCCCAGGCCGTGACATTACCTCCACCAGGCTTCACAGATGAGCTTCGGATCATAAGCAGTTCCTTTCTTTTTCCACACTTTGGCCTTTCAATCACTTTGCTAGAGATTAATCTTGGTCTCATCAGTCCATAAGATTGGGTACCAGAACTTTTGCGGCTCATCTCTGTACTTCTTTGTAAAATTTCAGTCCGTCCTTGCGATTCTTCCTGCTGATGAGTGGTTTGCATCTTGTGATGTGGCCTCTATATTTCTGCTCTCTGAGTCTTCTTCCAACAGTGGATTGTGATACCTTCACCCTGCACTGTGGAGGTCGTTGCTGATGTCACTTACTGATGTTTTGGGGGTTTTCTTCACAGCTCTCACCATATTTCTGTCATCAGCTACTGTTGTTTTCCTTGGCCGACCTGTTGGGCGTCTGTTGCTCAGTACACCAGTAGTTTCTTTCCTTTTCAGGACATTCCAAATTGTTGTGCTTGCTGTGCCCAATGTTTGTCCAATGGCTCTGGTCAATTTTCCTTTTTGTCTTAGCTTGACAATGGCTTGCTTTTCTCCCATAGACAGCTCTCTGGTCTTCATGTTGGTTTATCCTCCTTAACAGGAAATGCAGTCTTTATAGGTTTGAACCAAGGATGAAAACTTAGACTAGTCATGCAGAGCTATTTAATGTTTGGACAATCAGCCTAAAAGGCATCAGCCTAAAAGGCAACACCTGGGCAACAAGAAACATCTGGCAGTCACATGTTCCAATAGTTTTGCTCACTTGAAAAATGGGGGGGTTCAAACAAAACGTGGTATGTCCTGAGTTGTTTAACACATCTAGATGTGAATACCAGGAAATGAGAGCTGAAATTCTGAACTCTTGTCTCAGACTCATATTTTGATCTTAAACCCAAATGTCTTCAGTGAACAACAAAAACAAAGGAATTTACCTCACTGTTCCAATACTTTTGGAGGGAACTGTATATATACATATATTTTTTTTGTTTGTTTGTTTGTTTTGTTTTTTTGTTTTCTTATTCCAGTGTATTTTCCCTTAATTAGTCCTCTTAAACAGAGCTTACAGGATGCCCTCTTACACAACTTAACACAAAAATAAAAAATAAAAAATTAGATCCTCCCTAATGTCCCCGTTAAGATCCTTCTTAGGTCCTTGTCAGTCTGTAGTCCCAGTTCTGGATCAAAGCATGCATGTGCTTTCTTTTGCAGTGATGAGCTTGTCTGTTCTTTGCAGAAACTCTTGCTTACTGAGCTGAAGCATGAAGCTGTAACATGTATTTACCTGCACTGACATGCTCAACTGTTTTTATGCCGTGGATCTGTACAGGTCCAGCCATGACCACTTCACAACAAACACAACAAAAGCATCGATCTGATCAGACATGAAAACTGGTTCTGTCTGAATTACAGTTTAGATGTGATCTAGTGCTGAAATTAGTCGAAAAGCAGAAAATGTATCAACAAACTGTTTAACAATTTTATATTATTATCAATTAATAATTAAATAATAATAAAAAATAGTCAATATATTCTGCCCTTTTCTTTTACATTAAGGCTAACACAACTAACAGATAATGTGCACAGAGCATGTTCTGCATATCGGCTCTCTTTCAGGGATGTGAACAGCTGTTTACAGTTCCCCAGTTGCTGCTGGTTGTTGTTTGGTGACTGCCAGGACGGTTACTGCAGTGTTTTCAGTGCTGTCCTGTGGCTTTAGGTGTCCCTGGTGGTGAATGTAGCCAGTGAATGTGGCTTCACTGATGAACACTACAAAGACCTGCAGCAGCTCCAGCGGGACTTCGGGCCGTATCACTTCAATGTGCTGGCCTTCCCCTGCAACCAGTTTGGGCAGCAGGAGCCCGGCAGCGACAAGGAGATTGACAGCTTTGTGCGCAGAGTATACCAAGTCTCCTTCCCTCTGTTCAGTAAAATCGCTGTTGTCGGAACTGGAACCAACAATGTCTACAAGTACCTTGTTGGTGAGTGAGATGTAATGTTGTTGGTGAACTGGTGTGCGTTTGTTGTTATATCACATACATTTACTCATTTAGCAGATGTTTTTATCCAAAACAAGTTACATTTATTAAGCAAATGAGACATCTGGGTTTCAGATAAACACAATGCAACCTGGTGGATCACATTATAAGGAGGGTTGTAAGTGTTACATATGAATAGTAATAGCAGAATATGAACTTTACATATGGTATATTTGATACTGAAATCTAATACAGACATATTATAGTGTTAAAGACAGGGGAAGAGTGTATTTGTACTGGTCCACTCTGTTGGGGGAAGTTGGGTTTGCCACAAGTGAAACTTCCTAAAACTGTACACTTTATATATATATATTCCAATATAACAAAAGGCATTAATACCTTTGCGTACCATCAGTTTTGTACAACCCTTAAAACAAAAAGAAGGAATAGAAAAGCATTAGGAAGAAAGAATGTGTTTCTAGGTAAGAGGCCAAATGTACACTGTTGTTTGATTTAGTGCTTTTAAATTGTGTAGGCTTTAACTTCTTTTTCTTCTCATTCTCTGCAGAGTCTTCAGGAAAGGAGCCTGATTGGAATTTCTGGAAGTATCTAATTGATGTAAATGGCAAAGTGGTGGACGCATGGGGACCAAAAGTTTCTGTCAAAGAAATCCGACCCAAAATAGCTGAAATGGTGCGGCAGATAATCCTAAAGAAGAAAGAAGAGCTTTAACCCTCCTAAGACTCTTTACTACGCAGTTTTCTGTAGTATATTTACATTTATTGGTACCTGAACCAAAGAGATAAACTGAATACGTGTGTTTTGCTCGTGCAACTGACCATGTAAGAAAAAATCATTCAATTCAAGTCAGATAATGAAAGCTGTGTTGTACATGCTAACTGAAGGCACTGATGAAACAGTTAAATTTCAGATTTTATATCAGGTGTAAGCCATTTGAAAAGTCATGCTGATTATGTGTTTGGTTTTTTATTCTTTTTGATTTGTGGAATAAACCATTACTGTAATGAGAGCAATACATTGCTATTTAGTCTATTTTACACTGCAAGGCTGTCAGTAATAGGGGTGGGGGGAAAAAAATCGATACAGCATAGGATCGTGATATTTGCCATGGCAATACTGTATCGACACACGGATGCCAATTTTCGATATTTTACTATATAAATTGCAGATGGGAGTTTTTGTAATTTTGTTCCAAAAATTTAAATATAACCACTGTTATCCATCAGTGTCTAGTCAATGTATTTGGTTCACAAGCGGTTAACAGCTCTCGTGGATGAGTCCAAAGTTTTGAAAGATTATGTTCTTCCCCCTCATTTGCTGCACAGTGGTTTGTTCCTGCCCACTGACAAGTAGTGTTACTGTCAGCAGGCACTGTGGCTATAATAATAACATACAGCCACTGAAAGAATATTTTGTTCATAGCAACATCTAAATATATGTAAAAAAGTGACAGGGACATTTAATACAGGGCAGCTAGGAAAGTACAAGATTTGGTGAAAAAGATTAATAATTATATGACATTTTACTCAGCTGCGCCTTCAGATCCTCTATATACTGTAAATGTCACAAACAGAATAGGAGACCAGTGGCAACCTTATCCAGCACCCACTGAAAATTAGTTTGACTTAATGCTGAGAATATGGATCCACCTGTCACTTTGGTTATAAGGAACTTAACAGATAATTAAATGTGTATTAAAATATGGTAATATTAAATAAATAAAATACATACAGTATATACATATTTACCTACACATATAATAATAATAATAATAATCCTTATTTGTAGAGCACTTTTCAAAAACAAGTTACAAAGTGCTTTAACAAGTGTAAAGAATAATACAAAAAAGATAAGAGCATGAAAATTTAATATAAAATTAGTAATTTAATATAAAATTAGTAAAATACAATAAAATAAAAGGGATAAATAAAGTCAAATAAGATCGGGAAAAGCTCTCCTATAAAAGTTTGTTTTAAGAAGGGACTTAAAAGAGTTCACTGACTCAGCCGACCTGATTTCCTCGGGCAGGCTGTTCCAGAGCCTCGGGGCCCTGACAGCAAACGCTCTGTCTCCTTTAGTTTTCAGTCGAGACTCTGGAACAGACAACAGACCTCTGCCCGAGGATCTCAAGGTACGTGCTGGTGCGTATGGGACTAAAAGGTCAGAAATATAACAAGGCGAGAGGCCATGAAGAGCTTTAAAAGTGATCAATAGAATTTTAAACTCAATTCTAAAACATACTGGGAGCCAGTGTAATGAAGCTAAAATAGGAGTAATGTGGTCATATTTCTTTGTTCTGGTTAAAAGCCTGGCAGCTGAGTTCTGGACAGTCCGCCGCCTCTCATCTTACGCAGACAGCTGGCAATAGCCAAGAGAAACAGATCAAAAACCAAAGTTTAAAGGAGCTACTGGCTCCCCAAACTCCATGCAACGCTAGAGACGCTAAGATTTGTGTCAGCCAAGACAGCCAAACATTGTCCAAAGCTGTTAGCATCTCAGGGCAAATCTCATCCACACCTGCTGCCTTGCTGCAGAAGAGCTTGCTTGCCTCAGGGACCTCTTCCAGGGATATGAGTAAGGCTTCCCCAGCATTCACAGCCCCCACTCCCCCACCACTACCTCCAAGCTGAGCACAGCCTGAGCCAAGCCCTTATTTCTCTCCCCTGCCATCTGATCCAACTCACCAGTTAACAGATCTGCTCTTGTCTTTACTCGAGAGTGTCCAATACATACATACGCAGGTCTGATGATTTGACCACAAAGTCGATAACTGATCTTTGGCTTAAGGTGTTCTGGTGCCAAGCAAACTAATGAACAACCTTATGCTTCAGTGTCTCCCCCAGGAAATTTTGATCTTTAAACACTTTATTTCCTGCATTCTGATGAACATTTCTGCACCAATTTATAAATTTATAAAATATTTTCATTTATGTAAAAGGAAAAACAAAATTCAGGCAGCGTGTGACATTTCAAAATATATAAATATAATTGAAGTCAGTACAGCTGTCTGTGTTGCCTTTAGATCTGGGTCTCTTGTTAATCAATTATAATAATAATATAATAATAAATTTTTCTCATGTAAGATCATCCCTGCTGAGGCAACACATATTCAGGCATTGGTCTTTTCTCCTCTTTTGTCATGTTTAAAGGAAGAGAAAAGAAAACTTGGCCAAAAAGAAACTGTGTCAAGAAGTTGATAAAGTTACTGATTGGTGCATGCACATTTTTGTTTTTTGTTTTTTTTTAGCTTACGTAGCTTTTCTGCCAAAGACAATGATGGTGCACTTCTACACCGCCATCATTGAGTCCATCCTCACCTCCTCCATCACCATCTGGTACGCTGCTGCAACTGCCAGGGACAAGGGCAGGCTGCAGCGCATCATTCGCTCTGCAGAGAAGGTGATTGGCTGCAATCTTCCATCTCTTCTGGACCTGTACGCCTCCAGGACTCTGAGGCGAGCAGGAAAGATTGTAGCTGACCCCTCCCACCCCGGACACAAATTGTTTCAGACTCTCCCCTCTGGCAGGAGGCTGCGGTCCATCAGGGCCAAAACCTCTCGCCACAAAAACAGTTTCTTCCCGTCTGCAACTAGCCTCATTAACAAGGTCCGGGTCCCCCACTGACGCTCCCCCCTCAAATAATACAAATGTCTGCACATGTAAATACCGTTTCATTCTGTGTTGGGCTCAAACCTGGCAAGTCGCACATACTTGCTGTTGATTGTTGATCTTTGTTGTTGTATATTTTTATGTTGTCAGTTTATATATTTATATGTACACAATATTCTCTTCTGTTACGTTAACAGCACAGACCCAGAATAATGTACATGTATATACAGGTGCTGGTCATATAATTAGAATATCATCAAAAAGTTGATTTATTTCAGTAATTCCATTCAAAAAGTGAAACTTGTATAATGTATACATTCATTCCACACAGACTGATTTATTTCAAGTGTTCATTCCTTTTAATTTTGATGATTATAACTGACAACTAATGAAAACCCCCAAATCAGTATCTCAGAAAATTAGAATATTGTGAAACGGTTCAATATTGAAGACACCTGGTGCCACACTCTAATCAGCTAATTAACTCAAAACACCTGCAAAGGCCTTTAAATGGTCTCTCAGTCTAGTTCTGTTGGCTACACAATCATGGGGAAGACTGCTGACTTGACAGCTGTCCAAAAGACGACCACTGACACCTTGCACAAGGAGGGCAAGACACAAAAGGTCATTGCTAAAGAGGCTGGCTGTTCACAGAGCTCTATGTTCAAGCACATTAATAGAGAGGCGAAGGGAAGGAAAAGATGTGGTAGAAAAAAGTGTACAAGTAATAGGGATAACCGCACCCTGGAGAGGATTGTGAAACAAAACCCATTCACAAATGTGGGGGAGATTCACAAAGAGTGGACTGCAGCTGGAGTCAGTGCTTCAAGAACAACCACGCACAGACGTATGCAAGACATGGGTTTCAGCTGTTGCATTCCTTGTGTCAAGCCACTCTTGAACAAGACACAGCGTCAGAAGCGTCTCGCCCGGGCTAAAGACAAAAAGGACTGGACTGCTGCTGAGTGGTCCAAAGTTATGTTCTCTGATGAAAGGAAATTTTGCATTTCCTTTGGAAATCAAGGTCCCAGAGTCTGGAGGAAGAGAGGAGAGGCACAGAATCCACGTTGCTTGAAGTCCAGTGTAAAGTTTCCACAGTCAGTGATGGTTTGGGGTGCCATGTCATCTGCTGGTGTTGGTCCACTGTGTTTTCTGAGCTCCAAGGTCAACGCAGCCGTCTACCAGGAAGATTTAGAGCACTTCATGCTTCCTGCTGCTCACCAACTTTATGGAGATGCAGATTTCATTTTCCAACAGGACTTGGAACCTGCACACAGTGCCAAAGCTACCAGTACCTGATTTAAGGACCATGGTATCCCTGTTCTTAATTGGCCAGCAAACTCGCCTGACCTTAACCCTATAGAAAATCTATGGGGTATTGTGAAGAGGAAGATGCGATACGCCAGACCCAACAATGCAGAAGAGCTGAAGGCCACTATCAGAGCAACCTGGGCTCTCATAACACCTGAGCAGTGCCACAGACTGATCGACTCCATGCCACGCCGCATTGCTGCAGTAATTCAGGCAAAAGGAGCCCCAACTAAGTATTGAGTGCTGTACATGCTCATACTTTTCATGTTCATACTTTTCAGTTGGCCAACATTTCTAAAAATCCTTTTTTTGTATTGGTCTTCAGTAATATTCTAATTTTCGGAGATACTGAAATTGGGATTTTTATTAGTTGTCAGTTTTAATCATCACAATTAAATGAAATAAACATTTGAAATATATCAGTCTGTATGTAATGAATGAATATAATATCCAAGTTTCACTTTTTGAATGGAATTACTGAAATAAATAAACTTTTTGATGATATTCTAATTATATGACCAGCACCTGTATCTGCAACGTTGTTCTTCAATTCAAAATGCAACATTTGACTTCTTCAAACAAGTTGTTTTCGTTAGAGCAATGGTTGTCGTCGGGATGGTAGCAGTTGTTGTCAGGATGGCTGTTTTTGTGTGGGGAGTTTTTATCGTTGGGGTGATGGTTGTCGTTGGGATAGTAGTTGTTGTTGTCAGGATGGCACTTGTTGTTGGCAGAGTTATTGTCGTCAGGGCAGCAGTTGTTTTGGGGCAGAGGTGGTTGTTGTCGTTATTGGGGCATTGGAGGTTGTAGTTTTTGTCACTGGGGCAATGGTTGTTGTCGGGATGGTAGTTGTTGTCAGGATGGCAGTTGTTGGGAAAGTTGTTGTCGTTGGGGCGATGGTTGTTGTCGGGATGGTAGTTGTTGTCAGGATGGCAGTTGTTGGGAAAGTTGTTGTCGTTGGGGCGATGGTTGTTGTCGGGATGGTAGTTGTTGTGGGGAGAGTTTTTGTCGTTGGGGCAATGGTTGTTGTCGGGATGGTAGTTGTTGTGGGGAGAGTTTTTGTCGTTGGGGCAATGGTTGTTGTCGGGATGGTAGT